CAATCCTCCCCCTCTTGGGGTATGACTGCTTCCCCAGCCCTTTCTTCCAGTGCATGCTCCTCCACATCCCTGATCAGGGCAATTCCCCTGGGCATCGTTTCTGGATGGGCTGGAGGGGTCACGCGAAGAGTCTAGAATTCAGGAAAGGCACGTCAAAAAGAGTGGGCAAACCCGAGTTCCGGCGAATTCAAGTATTAGAGCATCGGTGAATGTAACTGCGTGGGCAGACAGAAGGAACCAAAATCGCACTAACCACCGAGTCGGTCATTCCCAGAACCCCGAGCGCCGAGCCGACCACCCCCCCGCCAGCGCGCGTCGTGCTGCCGTGAGGTCCCAAAGGTCACGGGGAGTCCCCAGAGGGAGATTGCTTTCTCATTCTTTCCGGCAACTGTCGAGCAAGGGGCGGATCGGGGCCCCAGGTAACGGGAACGCGTCGGCGGGTGGGGCACGTCGGGGTGGGGGTGCGCTGCGATCGCCTGAGCACGCGCGCGAGAACCAACATGTGGGGGGGGTCCAGCCCCTTCCCCCCAAGTACGATCGTTACCGTTACCCTGAGGTGAGCCTGGGTAATGACAGTCACGCGCCAGAGGATAAAACACAATCTCAGACGAAAGCAGGATGGCGGACAAAATCGGATTGGAATGCATCGGAGTCTCTGAGGCTCAGCGGGCCTGGAGAACGTATGGTGCGCCACGGCTCTTCCAGAGCGCTCCAGAACGCGTTGAGAGCGCCCTGGAACACTTGATCGATCATCATCCTGAACATGCCCTGTCCACAGAAGCCTCCAGAGGCCTCCTAAGCCCCTTGATGCCTAGAAAGGGCCAGAAGCGTCCAAAAGCCTCGATCCGCCGGACGGCGGCGACGACGGCGGCGATATGCGGGACCAGCGTCTGGAAGCCCAAAAGGCCTTCCTAAACTGCCGGAAGCGTCGACAAAGCTCGACCCTAGATCGTCGACCTCGACACTCGATCATCGAACATCGAACCTCGAACCTCGCTCATCGACCATCGGCCTAAATCGTCGACCTCGGCTCTTGCCCCTCCGCCTCGATCGTCGGCCCTCGACCACCCCGACGGGCCGTCCGAAGCCGCCGCCCGCAGCGGCCGCGCGGCACTCGGAGCCCTCCGAAGAGGCCAGCCGAGCCGAGCGCTGCGCGCGCGTGGCGCGCGCGCGGCGGCCTTGTCGCACTGCTCAACAGCGGCGGTGACCGTCGTGGCGGCCTGCGAATGAGCGCCCCGGGGCGGGGGCAGCATCGGCGAAGACGGCACCAGCGCCGACAAGGCCGCCGGCGCCGCCAGCGCCGCACCCAGAGCGGCGACGGCGACGGCAACTTCGCGCCGTCTCCACCGCCGCCGTTGTCGCCGTCGTGGAGGCGCGACCTTCGACGCCGTTCGCCGCGTTCACCGACGTCGCCGTCGTCGCGTTTGCCGCTGCTGCCGCAGTCGCCGCATTCGCCCGGTCTTCGTCATCGCCGCCGTCCCGGCGCACAAGTTGTCGGGCACGTGTGGCCGCTTGCTCTGCACTCAGAGGCCCCAGAGGGGCCTTTGGGGACCACTGGGCGACCTCCAGGGGCCTCCAGGGACCTCCACAGACTCTAGAGGCCTTCAGAGGCCCCCAAAAACCCAGCGACAACGACGACGACAATGACGACAGCAGCGACGGTGGCGTCGGAAGCGACGTCGGCAGCGACGGTGGTGTCGGCATCGACGGTTTCATGATCTGGCGCACTTCACTGGCCCGAGGTGGCCGCAAGACAGGCCAATAACACTCCAAGACGACTACAACACTCAGTCACTCACTCCCCAAGGCCGGCCCAGGATGCAAGACCGGCCCAGGATGGTTCAGTTCCAAGCGCCCTCAAGTTTCAAAATGCTACCCATAACCCTCAAAGGCCCAAGGCAGACAGACAGAAGACGCAAACGTCAGAGGTGCGTCGGCAACAGGGTGACATGGACAGTACTGGAGGAACCAGCGAACGTGCCAAGCATGGCAAAGGAGGTGGAGGAGGACAGGCGCCGATGTGCGCCCCTGAGGCGGCCCTCTAAAAGCTTGGCGGGGGCGCCGGAGCACCGAAACTCAGATGTCGTAGCAAATGGTTGCTTTACGATCTCGAGTGAATACTGTTGGCTCCACTGGTACAGGAGGGAGCGTACTGGAGGAGGGAGTGGAAGGAAAGAGGCGCCCAACAGAGATGTCAAGGATTGGAGGTACCGTGTGCTGCTTCGCGGCGCGCCTCGCGCCTGGCCATGCGCCAGCTTCCCTGGCGCCAGAGCCTGTGCGGTTAGATCCTGGCTACTGGCCGCTCTGCGGCACGCCTCGACGATGGTGCACTTCCAGGAGGTGTGCAGGGGGAGGAAGGGAAGGAGCCAGCTCGCTCACCTCGGGACCCGCGCGCCGAAAACCCGCACTCCGGGCGCACAGATGAATCCCTCTCCATGCAGAGGTCGGTGAAAGTCCAGAGGACGGAGGGAGGAACGTAAGAAGGAGAACGAGGAGGACG